CAATATGGCTTCTATGTCATCTCATAGAATTCATTTAACACTATCCTTACCAAAAGTTTAGAGAAAAAGTTTGGAACCGTTTTTGAGAAAACTTTGTTTTTGTAACTTTTCTTTAAATTGTATTCGTATTACACGAAAACTACTTTCAGTTTCAAAAAAAATGTACATGACGATAATGAAAGAACTCACTATGGAAAACAAATTTAATTTGAAAGAATAACCTATATTTTCAATTTTGTAGTTATAGGAAGACGCCGAAAAAAATTCAAACTTCTGCAATTTTCCAAAATTCAGAGGTAACGGTGAAAATCCGACTTTTTAAGTATATTTTACTCTATTTTTACCTTGAACTTAAAGAAAAAATTTGGATCCATTTTTGAGAAAAGTTTGAAAATTGTCCGGGATGCTTCATGTAAAGTACCCCCGGATTTGGAAGACATTTTTTCAAAATCAACGGCGACTCGGATGGAGCGTGTGGTTTAGGTGCTAGTGGTGTTCAGACTAACTTCACGTTAGACTGACAGACGGCGGACGTTTTGCCGTCTATTGATTTTTCTATATCAAGGACTCAAAACACGAATTCTGGCAATACCACGAATTAGAAGATTCAAAAAAAAAATTAATTTACCAACTGGATATATCCCCTTTATTGTTATCAGGGCCTAGCAATGATTTTTTTTCTGCTGCAATTCCGCAGTCTTTTCGCGTACCATTACATAACTTTCCATATTCTACGTATATTACTCCGTATATACGAATGAATATGTGAAAGTAAAAACGACTATTGTAAATATTAACGAAAAGATACCTATTTTCAAAACAATTTGTGTAATTTTTGAAAAAATCGAAAGAATACCTCAGAAAGTCGTTTTTCATGTTATACACTGCATTTAAATCAATCCGTAAAAAATGTTTAAAGAAAAACATTTGGAGCCGTTTTAGTGAAATCCTCGTTTTAATGTTGCCCTTTATGCAAACTTGCGCGAAAACTAGTAAAATTTCAAAAAACTATACTTTATTGTTCTTGCCATGAGAGATCGATCTGAGCCCTGATCACTTGCAATTTCGAAAGGGCGAAGACAAAAAATGCAGGTTCTCCTTAATATTAACAAACTTTTTTCGGGTCTCAAATCCCTTGATCGAAATAACTGGCTTTCGGAATATCGTAGAGAATTCAACATTTTTCCATTATGGACATTTTTGAGGAATAAAAAAAATTGCAGAAGTATTTGAGAAAATTTTGCTGTTTTTTGTGTCCATTTACTAAAAAACTTCTAGATGTTTGAAAAACCATCATTAGATATCATTAAAGCTTGTGTTAACAAATGTATCAAGCAATGAAACAAATTTAACGTACTTTTAACGATGTGAGAGATTGAAGACTACGCCAAAATGGGGTTTATGTCATTTTTTTCAATGCATTTACTACAGTCCATACAAAAAGTTTAAAGAAAAAAACAGAAGCGGTTTTTGAGAAAATATTGTTTTTAGTATTTTTAAATATTGCCCGTATTAGTCAAAATTGCGCCAATACTACTAACATACAATGTAGGCTTTCACGACCGGTTTCTACATCATAATTACTTGTTTCCGGGTTTGTAGACCGTGATCCAACGGAGATTGGACCAAACGTTTCGCCTGCCAACAGTTGCAGGCGAAACGTTTGGACCAGTCTCCGTTGGACCACGGTCTACAAACCCGGAAACAAATAATTGATGAATACTACTAATATTTTTAAAAAAATGCACATGACATTGAAGAATTGAGGAAAACAAATTTCATTTTAAAAATAATCTCTATCTTCAATAATGTAGTCGTAAGTCATGTGGGTTCAAAAAATGTCACTTTTGTATTTTTTGAAAATTTAGAGATAATAGTGGAAATTGGACCTTCCGTCATCGTTGTAAGTTAATTTCACTCTTACGAGAAATCTGAAGAAAAAATTGCAATTTTTCGAAAAATTTTGATAATGTGCTGGGTTGAGTCAAAAAGAGTCAAATCGAGTGGAGAATGTACATTTTCGAGAAATCCAATTAATAGACTAGACGTTAGTGATGTTCACGGACGGACAATTTGAAAAAATCCGAGTTTCCAGTATTAAGGAGCAACAAAACATATTCTGACACTGCTACGTGTTAGAGAAAGTAATTTACATTTACGAGGCAAAATAATCTTTTTTAGGGTAAATGAGTCACAAAACTAATTTTCCTGTTGAAAAAACAGAATTTTTCGCCGCAGCATTACACGACTTCCACTATACTGTGACGTCATGGATACTCACAGCGAATACAGACACAGAGCTTTTATATAACAAATATTTATTTACAAAGAAAACACAACAAATATTTACAATGAATTTCCTTCTTGCACCCTAGCTCTGATAGACCTACTATCCCCTGTTCGCGGGAGCGATCCAAACCAGATTGATGATCGGTTGCGATTGCGGCATTCGCCACTCCTACTTCTGAAGCGCGCACAAAGCCAAGCTTCCGTGACCGGATGTCACACTGGGACACAAGTCCGTACTGGCGTACCAACTGATGGTTTGCCTCGATCGCAGGAGCGATTTTACCCGATTGAGAATCGGCGTGAATCGCGGCGCTCAACCACTCCCCACCTCGGAGCACGCACACAGCATCGCTCCCCCGTGACCGCAGTCACCCAAGGACATAAAGTCATCCGCAGGCTCGTCAACACGTGACTTGCCTCGCGAGCCCGGCCCGCAGGTGCACCGCCGTGGCGCCAAGTTTTGTGCAAATGCACGAGGTACTCCACTGTCTCCAGAACCCACCCACTGGCTCTGTGCACTGCGTTATATAGTCGATGCTCACGTGACCTACTACGTCACGCCACCCCCACCGCGGTCTATTGCTAACCATTAAGGGGTCGGGTCTCCGTTTCTTAAGACCGGAAGACCCTAAAGCCTTGGGTCTCCCTTCTCTCCTTCCTGTGGCGAGGAGTTTCCTCGTACTAATCCCTTACCAAGCGTCCCCAAATAGATGCTACGAGGCACGCTGGCTAATACGTTACAATACTATGTAAAAGAGAAAGTAAAAATCTTGAAGGAGCAAAAGGTCAAAAATGAAATTTCAAATGCACAAAACTGGTAAACAAATTGACCAGAAAATTCATTAATGAAGTATTAAACAATATTTCAAAAACTTTCTACAAAAGTGTTTTACTCCCTCGAAATATCCATTATGTATAGCAAATTTAAAAAAAATAAAAAATAAAGGGAAGCCTTTTAATAATTAAACAAAACTTCTCCACTAAAGAATTGCCTTGGAAAATTTTAATTTAAGAATTATGATTAAATACAGAAGTGGATACAGAGACAAATTTGGAGACAGGAAATTAAAAATGTTTTGGTGGAATGTGTCATTACAGATTTTGTAAAATATTAAATCACGCTGCAATATGATTATATTTGTTTTAATGATTATTGGAAAATATTTTTGTTTGAAAGTTTCGTGACAAATTGAAATTAATAGTTACTAAAATCTTTTAGGGGAGGGGGTAATTTCCCTCCCTGTGGATTTGCCATTGTTATAGCACTTTCTTTGAATGCTGTTAAAAGATATAACAGCAGTTTCTTTGAATGTGTGGAGGTGAAAAAGCAAATGTAATCAAATTTACAATTTTTATTGAAGATGTATTTTAAACTGTCAATATGAAACTGAAGTGTCCCGCATTGCTCTAATATTTACTTTTCACAATATATTATAACTTTATTCCTGCTCTGTTTGTCCACTTCTATCTATTCTAGTGCAACCCCATCCCATGCAGCTTTGTCAGGCCTTTTGCTACCTTGCCCAATCCCCAGACTTAAAGTCTACTTCACTAGGCCCGGAGTTTTCTTTTATTTTCCTTTATTTCGCAAAACCGATTTAAATATTTATTTATGTTCAAATTATGTGATTATTCAAACAATAATATGGTTAGTATCATAACTACAGTACATAAATAATATACCATAACAAATGTACTTATTATTTAACAAAAATCTATAATCCCCCTCCCCCAAATGATTGGCTAGATCTGTCCATGACTTCACTCACTTTCTAATATAATTTTAAAATATCTATAATAAAAGCAAAATAAAGACGACCAGATGGCTGAGATCATTAGGACAGAAGTGCCCTAGGGGTCTCAGACCAGAAAACTGCAGGTTCAAGTCCCGCCTCGGGGTGTATTTGTGTCTATGTATGTGTGCTGTTCTTTTATCCTTTACTATCATCTCATTATCCATACCCCCAGCACTAACAACCTTGGGGGATAAAAATTGGAATTCAGCTAAAATGCAGATCCACCCCTCTACCTCCAGAAAGGTACATGCACCAGCTGAAGGAGGATGCACGTGTTGTGCAAGTTGGCCTATAAGAGGAAAACAAAACACACACACACACACACACACAACACACAAACACACACACAAACACACACACAAACACACACACACACACACACACAGAGTACCAAATTGTTTTGGCTAAAAGTATTCCATTACTTGTTACAGGACTAGTAGTAGATATTCCATTACTTGTTACAGGACTATTCCACTTACACAATTTCAGCAAATTACATGACAGAATTTGGACCATACAAGCCAATCAGAAACAAATTATGCACAACAATTACTCTTTCATTACCACCTTCTCAAAAGTGGTATTGTTGCCGTTTGTCAAAAAGACCTTACATAATTTTGATGATACTGCCCATGGCATTTTAAAGGACTAGGATCTTACTATTATTTACTGCATCACATTAATTTCATTCCTTCTGTCAAGGTTCAGGATTGCATTAAATGGACATTTGTTGACAAGATCAGCTGTTTTCGGGCAAAATGTTCAATAATAATTTTAGAAAATAAATTTACTCTTTTAATTTTTGCTTTGCCAAATACAGATCAAGTAATTCAGATAAATGACAATCTCTTTGTAAAATTGAAAAAATTATCCTACGTACTTCATTATGAAATAAAATCTCAAATTACTAATTGACTTTGCATTTTAGAGAGCTACAGTTTTTACCAAGGGTATTTTTCATAAATTAAATGTGTTTTATTATTATTATTATTATTATTATTTCATCTTAATATACACTATGAATTTGCATTAGTTGACATGATTGAATGTTAACACACAACTTCAATAATTGTGCATTTGTTTTTCCTTACAGAGCATTGTATGGAAAATTTTGCTTCATTTTATAAACAATATGAAAACTGTTGTAGGACTACAGTACTTTCCCCGAAGAATATTTTTTGTATAATGACAAAATAATTATTTACGTCTTAATTTTATATTGCAATTCTTCTGTATGCAAAGCAATGTTTCTCTCTTGTTACATTCAAAATGCCGTTATTCCATTACAATCACTCAATGTATGTATATTATTCTTAGTGATATATAAATTAAGGTGCTGAGAGTAATAACATTTAAATGTCTTGCATTTAAACATTTCTTTGTATCCTACATCTGTTTTGTGGAAGTTTAATGTTTTTTATTCACAAGTGAAATTTTTTCTACAATAGAAGAATTCACAAATCATAGATCCATTTTGAGGAGAAATATGTTTATGCTTTTTTTATTAGCTGCCTTCAATAATCGCTTTTCCAAAAACATCAGAATTCCTTTCACTTATCATGAATTTACTCATTCGGCACAATCTTTTACATGCTGTCAGAAGTTTCATTTCAGTTGTCCTTCACACAAAACATACAAAGATAATATGTTCAGAACAAATTAACTATTGTGAAACTATTATTGTGTAGTTTTTACAAAGGGTTAAAATATGCAATAAGATACAAGTTTACTAATATTTATTTTCATCATTTTCAGGGCCCAGCAGGCTACACTTTTATCAAAATAATGCAATAGCCAAAACCCCAAAGCTATCACCTAATACAATAGTCGATATTTCTTATACATTATAATGTTTATATATCAAGCACTCAGTCCTTCTGAAACATAATAAACATGTACATGGAGGAATACTCCATAAATAGCAGATCAAAACTATAACATTCCTTACAAGACACATTCATTCACTTCAAACATGAAATTAATTTGGTTTCAATAATACAAAATTAACTGCATTCAACAATATTCCTTCTCTCTTAATGTAAATGTAGCAATTTCATTGCAGCAATATATATACCAACATTTGCATCATGCCTCTAAAATGTAGCAGAGGAACTTGCATACAGAATAACAATGGCTTCCATTTTAAATGGACTCCAAATATCAAGAACCTCTTCCCCACATGTTTAGCAGTTGTTCCCAAACTTAATTACTACTTGTCTTATGATATGTCATGCGACCTATACAGTATACAAAATATAACTTAATGCTTCAATAATATATTTGGTATTTTATAGTCTTATCATTGTAAATTAAATGTAATTGTATAATATGAATATACAACTCAAGAAATAGCAATAGCAACAAGAGTAGCAGCGACAAGTATGAGAAATCCTATACACTTGGACTCATTCTAAAGCCATTACCTCTTACCAGAGACTGATCAGAACCAGAAACGATACAACAGCTTCCTTCATTCACACAGTTACAGCTATGTGCTACATCAGATAATATGCACATATAGTTGAAAGTGGAAAGGCAAAAATTGTCACTTGTGAAGTACATAGTATATACACTTTCTAAGGCAAACTGTTTAAAGGAACTGAAGTACTGGTATCATCTGCAGAGAGACACACACCAGTCTGCGGCATGTGTGCCTACATCCCCGACTATGGGATCCAACCACCACTCCTTGCAGTGCACATTTCAATAGTGACCTGCTGCCTTTATAGAAATTCTCTCATCAAGCGTTTTCTAGCTCTGACTGTCTCGTTTAACATTCAACACACAACTTCTAAAACTAGGCTGCATCCTACAGCACAAGTCAAAAGCAGTATACATTTTCAAACCTAATTGTCATCCTCAGCAGTACAACCAGCACAAGCTTCACACGTGCTACAAAAATATAGTCACTCTGGAAGTCAAATGGTTAATGCCCTAGATGTACCTCGCTCTAAAAACAAGAGCAGATTCTCAGCTAGAGGCCACATTTTGCCAACTCTTACATATCTCATGCCTCAGCTTAATTTATATTCAATACAGAGACTCATATTTTCTCTTCTTTCCTTTTCTTTTTTGATGTAAGAAACACATTCTTAAAACGCAATCGACAGTATTCTTTGAATTTGGGAGGAACTTCTTAGAAAATGCTTTCTATCTGAAAGGAGTTTAAAACAAATCCTTGTGAGTAGCATTCTCTAAGCAGCAAGTAATAATTTCATTACTAACTCCTCTGCCTTTCACAAAACATATCTCCAAACCCTAAATCCAACGATTATTTCTCCTGAGAGAATTTCATTTTACCACTACCAGTTTATACATTCACAACTGTAATGTTACTGTTAAATTTTCATATCTATAATTTTTTTTTTCTAGCAAGGAGTGCAAAGAATTTATTATAAAGGTTCATTAACTGATGGAGTGTAGGCTTCTCATAAAACATCAATTATTCTCCAAAGAAATCTATAATTCAGTAGCACCAAAGTAGAAGTGGAGCACTATCAGTAGATCACATACAATACTATTCACCACAAGACAAAGTATCTTCATGGTGAAATGCATGTAGTCAAGATGCCTGCCAATCCAATTCCAAAAATAGATTTATAAAATGTAGGTTGATATGACAAAAACCAAAGTTCTATACATGAGGCAGTTTTAGAGAAATATGTAATTCTCATAAAATGATGAAAGAAGATACCATGAGGTAGTATAGATTGGGAAACAGTGCACCTTTGTCATTAACGTCAAGTCATTTTGAAAAATAAAACGAACTATCTATAAAAAAATTACATGTGGTGATCTAACCATTAATTGAAAAACCATACACACTCATCTTGATAACATACAGATAAAATTGAAATGTCATCCTCAAACAAATCAAATGTAAATATAGTGCAACTGTAGTATGTATATATAAACAAACCAATAACTATTTCTACGATTATTATTTGTCACCAGAAAGTTCAAAGTTAAAAATTGAAAGCTCCTTGATCCTTCATGCCAGTCAGCAAATAAAATTCATTTGTGTCCAGAGTGCACAAAAAAGTTAGTTACTACTGCAAATTCTTATTAGTATAAAAACCTAAATAAATCATAGGCGACCATATTAATGAAAAAATTAAACAACTTACAGCAGACATTAGGAATCAATAAGTAATATACTATGGGCATTTAACATGCATTCTCTCAAAGCCAAGTGCCCACTTTTTAGAGTAAAACTTTCCAAAAAGTATAGTAAACACAAACAGCTACAATTTGATGGCAGCTCCAGTCACATTGATGAAATTACTTTCACCACGCATGGCACCATTCTATTCACCTTATAAAAAAAAATCAGTGCATAATTTATCAGCACATCCTCACATCTACATTAAGACAATTATCACTTTTCATGTCTTTTAATTAATTCTGATTTACAGTGGCAGCAGTCAGAACACAGAAGCCTACACCACCCAACTACTATTGACACTCCAGTGCATTGAATGTGGGTAGAATGTACAATTGGCAATGTATTATCAGTGGACAATTCAGCCTCTGATCTTTCAATACAATGGCAACATCAGAGTGCTATGGCTTTCTCCCCTTCCTGTACAGTCTTTATACTTATAAATAATCTAAATATGCCCTCACTACCATCATAGAAATCTTTATACTCTTCTAATTTTTATGATTAGTTCTTATATATAAAAGCATAAATATACCTTAACAAATTGAATAGTACAATGTTATAATTTACTCCTTATACTCCATGACCAAGATTTAACAAAATATCGAGGCAGCGACAAAGTAGCCAGTCACAGATGATAAGAGGAACGCTGGCATTAACTAGAAAAAAAGATCAGCTCCAAATATTTACACAGCTCCAGAGGGGAAGTATAGATTAATACTATGCCTCATGAACTGAGTTCTCTCATGATTTGAATGTAAGACTTGCGAGTAACGTAATATTTACTCGAGCTCAATACAATACTCTTGAGATCAATAACCCTTCACAGAATAATTTTAAAAAATAAAGAGGACAACACAATAAAAAAAGTTTTATGAAAGTAATAAAAGAGCCTAAGGGGCTAGGCACTGCGTGCAAAATACCACCTCAGGTTGCTTTGGTTCAACTTAAGAGACTTCTGTGCAGGCCTAATAAGCTGCTTGGAGCCTCGAGTTCAAGGGCAGGGGACTGAAATTTGCTACGGTTCTTATGAGTGTACACAGATATACAAATGCCATTGGCCCCAGCAGCTCTTCCTTTTCCCCCAGTGTCATTAGAGATTAATAGATCACCAACAGCCAATGCTTTGAATCAGCCACAATGCACAACTTCTGCAATGCATAACATGGCCAGTGTAATTAGGAGCTCTCCACATTTTTCCTCTTGGAAAGATGTATTCTTTAGTCCAAATCACAAACACTTCATCAAAGCAGCGATGCTGTTGTGTCTGTTGTTACATAGTGGAGATGAGCAAGTTTGCCCAATGTTGAGAAAACACCACTTTTTAAAGTCTGGTACAGGATAATATAGAAAAAAGAGATTTCTCCTTACTCAGGGCTGCATCGTATCATCATGCTTTCCCTCAACTGCAGATATCCACCTGCAGCTACATCAATTTACACCTACACAAAACAAAATAGTAAGTAAATGTAGTACTTCAATTAATATATTACTGGCCTGACCTAACATTGCTTAAAATTATAAATTCTTCGAATACCTAAAAATTAAAACTAACTACAAATAAAAACAAAAACTTATCTTTTAAATGGTTGAAACATATTAACGTATTTTGAAAGATCTATTTGCTAGACCTGAGCTAGCCTGAAGGAATAGCTCTATCACCAACATTTTCTGTTTGCAAACATACCAATGACAAAAGTATTGAACTTGATAGATTAAAATTTTATCAAAATTCTTTTCTTTAGTAATAAACAACTTTTTGGCAATCTCTCAGTAGAGGGGCCCATACTTGGGATATTTGCCAGTTTTAGACCTACAGGGAAATATGAACATTCTAAACTACAACCACATGGGTAAATCTTGATGGGTGAGTCATATGTAGTCCACCTTTTCTTCACGATACAAGTTCATTGCGAGTATCCTTAAAGTTCATATATTTTCCCTGAATTAAATTGATTTGTTGGATATTATAAAGTAGTTGTAAGTTAAAATTTTAAAAGACCCTGTGTTACCATGATTTATACATCTTACCAGTTCTTAAATTAATTGTAAAAAAGAAAAAAAATAATCTACACTTAATTAAATATTTAAATTGGCCTTAAATATTTCAGATGGTAATCACTGAAACACTTTATTTTTACTTTCTCGTATACTATTTATGTAGTAGAGAGATGTTAAGCAATTTTGCAGTGAAAAACTAATTTTTCGACAGAAAAACTTGTTTTCTGACTCCCTGATACCTAAAAAGTGGGAAATTCTTGTTTGAATACGTAGCAATTAACTTCCTTGAACACATTTTGTAGTCAGAATCCAGGTTTTGTGAGTCCTTGATACTGAAACTAGTGTGCTACACGATACAGACTTTCTCAAACCAGCCAGTTTGCTATTCATTTCAGTCTGAGCTGGTGTTTTGCGCTGCTCTCTTCTAAGCTACCATCGATTGCACCTACAAAGATTTTACAGCTCCACTGGAGACATTTCCCAGTGAAGAGCAGTTTTGTAGCAGACTTGGAATGCCCCCAACACAATGAACATGAATTAAAACATTAGTACATTAGGCAGGTGTCGAAATTACAACTCAGCTTTAGCTGAAACCAGCCTTAGAATTCACATACTTCTGCCACAACCTCTGCCTCATAAGGCCCACTCACTCAAAAGTACTATATGCAAACTATTACATGACGTACCTTAATAATTTGATAAAACTAATAATACAAGTAAAACTGACCTTTTTAGCTTATATAGCATTCAATGTTCAGCATTAAATGATAAAAATAATTTTACTCATTATGCACCCACAACTGCATGCAACCATTAAAAGTTTCAAAAAATGTACGTTACTAATTAAGAAAACTAATTTTGGAGAACAAATTTCATTACAAGACAAAAATCTCTATCTTCAATAACATAGCTGTATGACAGATATAAAAAAATCACAAAGCTACAATTTTCAAAATTTCACGGGTAACAATGAAAATCAGACCTGTTCCATCTTTGTAAAAGTATTACACTCTACTATTACAAGAAATGTAAAATAAAAAGGTTTAAATTAGTGATAAAAGTAGTAAACAGTAGTAAAAGTAGTAAAATTACTGTTGTTGTTACTCCTAAAGTTGAAAATATCACATGAGCTTCATCGTTAAGTGTACCCACAAAATTTGAAGAATTATTTTCAAAATCAGAGTCTCGACAAAATGAGGAATTTTCGTTTTGGAAAAAACCTAGCAAATGATTGAGGCTTCTAGTATTATTCATGGATGGATGAACATTTGTTTAAAGAAAAACAAAAATTGGTATTAGATATCCAAAAAAACAAATATTTTTGTTAAAATTTCAAAATCTATTTTCAGCAGTATTCCATAATTTTCTGTGTAACATGTATTATTCCATATAAATGTACATATACAAGAGTAAAACTGTAGTCTGTACACAAAATTTTCAAAATGATTCAAACGTCAGTGAATAAATCTAATGGATACATCATCTCGAATCTGAATTTGCAATGCAAGTGTTTATTTTTGGAGGGTTCTTTACATGAAGGCTCAAATAAGTTTCAAAATTTTCTTGAAAACTGTTTAAAATTTTTGCTTATTTTTCTTTTCTCGTGTAAAGCAACGTAAAATAAGAGTTGGATCAATTTTCATTCAACTCTGAATTTTTGACAACTACAAAAGTTAAATTGGCTACAACTATAATATTGAAGATAAGATTTTTTTTTAATGAAATATTTCTTCAAAATTAGATCTTTAAATGAAGGCACATATTTTTCTTCTCAAAATGTGAGCAGTTTTCCAGTAATTTTATAAGAAAGACATTTTACAAACAACATTTTCTCAAAAACGACTAATGTTTTTTTTCATTTCCCCCCTGGTTTGTGAAAGGTATGGTACTCTTATCGAAATGCAGGTCCGACTTTTGTTCAACACACTGAATTTTCGAAAATTCAAAACTACAAATAAAGCGAGAAAGTATGTGATGTAACACAATTAGTAACAGTAATTCCACTGTCCAAATTCTTTCGCATTTGTGGCCGTTGGGTATGACGCAGGTGCGCTTACGCGCTCAGCCTACGAATACTAGGGTGCTATCTGGCGGTCCTCTCCACGACTCTGACAACAACTTGCAGATTATAATATACAAGAGTAGTTTAACGGAGGATTACTCCATAAAATGCGTTCTACGCCAAGTTTTTGGTTCGTTAACGTTGTCATAGAATAGTGCCGGAATGTTAATAATAATATTAATGATAAGTTTTTTCTTTCACCTTTTTGTGCTGATTTAAAACTAGGATCCTTAGGTTTTAACCTATTTTATTCTCCAATTTTTAACATATAATTATTTTAATACATTTGTTTCAATCATTTCTGCACCAAATACGAGAATTCTTTAGATTCAAAAAGAGTTACGATCCTTCAAACCACAAAATAGGAACTTCATAGAAAATACGCAAATCTTATGAACTCTTTCTTTATTTGAGTTGGTCGGAATTTTATGGTTAACTGAACATTTATTGGTAATTTTTTTGCCACTTAATTCTTATTTCCTACTTAAAACTAGAAGATGTACGTCTTCTAACAAAAAACAATCAAAGACAAAAAGCATTCAAACATTGCATGGCAAAGAATTCTTATGAATGCTATTCAACTTAATATTAGCTTTGCTAAATTAATGGCACCATATGCAAAATCAGGTAAATTTGTCTAATAAACTGTGTTTTAGAATATTAAAAAATTGACATTGAGTTTGAGTTTCAAGCACTGACATTGACACGAGTTTCAAGTATTTTGATGAATATTTTGCATGAGATGGTGAGATATTAGAAGTTTAGAATTTCATAATTTTTTTTTGAACTCTTTGAAGATGTATTAGGTTTTTTGAGTTAAGATTCATAATTTACAATATTCTAAAGACAGTGTTATTGTTTTATATAATCATTACAAACAGTTTGAAAAAGTGTGTGACGTGTTGCAGTGCTACCAATAATCTTCAAGTCAAAACAAAGGACAAAAATTACTAAGTGATCCCCGGAAACATTAAGAAACTGAAAATTACAATTTCATTGTGTAAGTTATATTCCATCTTGACTGTTTATAATCGATTGATGTAAAATTTTATTTCAGCTGGCTGCATGTTTTTAACCACCCAGAGGGTCAGACATACGTAAATTACACCTAAAAATAGAAAATGCACTTGCCTTTTTTTAAAATGTAGAACCTAGAGTTTCTTTACTTTAAAATAAAAAATTAGTACACTACGGTAACATTTGAAAAAAATGATCCAATTGTGGCAACCTGATTAATTTCAATTGAAATTATCTACACTCTCAGAGCCTGCAAATAGATTAATAGTATTTTAGCAAAATAACGTTCAAAGGAAACGTTAGAATTAATTTTTATTTTAAAATCAAACACTGTTGTTTCATTTTGTTTTGTGACAAGTGTGACGGAATACATTTGTTTACCTAATACCCTAAAACGAGGGCACCACTTCCCTCTTTCTGGAAATTAATTATACAATTTGAATCTAAATTGTATAATTCATGAACATTTGAATTACATTTTGTAATTTTTGAAAATACGAGGGAATAGAGGAAAATGTCATCTTGTACAGTACATAGTGCACTACCCCTACCAAAAGTTTCCAGAAAAAATTTAGAGCAGTTTTTGTGATCTTGTACTTTCTCACTCAATATGGTGCAAAAACTGCTAAAACTTAAAATAAAAAAAAATTAAAAATAAAAAAAAAATAAAAAAAATAAAAAAAAGTATTTGGTCTCTATGAAAGAACTAATTATGGGGACAAATTTAATTTGAAGGGAAAATCTTTATCTTCAATTTTGTAGATGAACAAAGAATGCAAGATGATGATTTGAAGATGAAAAAATTTTAAACTTGTGCAATTTCCAAAATTTCAGAGTTAACAGCAAAGATCAGATAACTGCTATCATTATAAGTGAATTTCACTCAATTCATACAAAAAATTTAAATAATAAATTTGGAGCCATTTTTGAAAAAAATTTAAAATTGTCCTTCAGAAAAGTACCCCAAAATTTAAATATTTTTTTTCAAAAATCACAGAGCTTTGAGTCGACCAGATTGACTGACAAATATCTGTTTTGGAAAAAATCCTACGAATAGTTAAGGTGGCGGTGTTCACAGGCAGAACGTTTTGAAAGGGGAAGAAAAAAGCAACAATACCTTTTACTGATATGAGGGGTCTCCAAAACGTGTATTTTCATTGAAATCGATTTTCCACAGCATTACACAAATTTCTCCATACTATGTACATCTACGAGAAAGTAAAATTAGGTACACTACGATTAAGTGATTTTCAAAATTTTCTAGCAATCTCATATTTGGTTGGGCCACATCCACATCTACACCATATGTGAATAGAAATGAAATAGGCAGAATGATAATGAATTGTTTCTAATGGTAGTTTAAATAAAATTCAGTTTGATTTTTACAACTATTCATAACTATGCAGTGTTATTGATAAATAATACAAATAAAAATTCATATTTTTAACAAAAGAAATAAAATTGTAAAAGAAATTGCTTATTAACTTGAAAAATACCACAAATCTTAACTAGTGGTGCGACAGAATGGCACAGACTCTCTCTTGTGACATCTCTTTGGTTTCTTAAGGATTAACAGAGGCTCCCATGGTACATACCGCTCCTCCTATAAAGTGCACTTTCGTGCAGACTCCTAACATTGAATAGTCCTATCACTGTCCTGTACCTTTACATTTATTTGCTCATGGTATTCACTGGCCCCTCTGACGGGTCGCGGGTTCAAATCCCCAATCGGGCAAGGTTTTGTCCCTCATTTCTCATTTATGTGCTATCGTGGAGAGCCTCACGTTCTGACAATCCTAGATCAGAAGTGCCCACAAATTGTGATGGAGTCTAGCATATGGTCGAATATGCGTCCCATCGGGGCATAAAAGGCAACTGGCTGATGGCTGAAAAATAGCTTGCACCGTGGTTTGGATACGAGGTCCAATTTAATTTAACGCAGTTTGCTCAGAGATACCTGCCCAGGCAAGAAATAATGGGAGGATTATTTGATAGGATTTGATTTACTTCATCAAAGAATAGTAAAAAAATGTATGTGATGTATGGGGAAGAATTACAATTGCACTAGTTTTCTTGAGCAGCTTTCTTTGCAATCTTTTAACCATAATTAGTTGAATGATGAATAAAAGAACCAACAAAGCAAGGTTAACAACATTAGAAAACTAGTCCTTTTCTCTCCCAAGTTATAGAAAATTATATGCATTGGTAAGTAAACTACAGTAATTTTTTAGTACTTCCAACAAAATAGTAACTCCCAGCTCAACCCCTACCACAAGTAGCAAAGGTAGAGTTAAAAAAAATGTGCAAGTAGTAAAGCTACATTTATGTCAAAGCAAAGCAAAGCAAAGCAAAGCAAGAGGCCTTCTCAGGGCTTGCTTAAAGGATAAGGTAAATTGGACGAAAACCTGACCAAGATGGGACGCATTGATACAGATGTTGAAATACATTATTGGTAGCAGGCATATTAAGTGTTTTCAAAATTATATACAATAGAAGTGTAAACTAATGCATTATATTTCATTGATTAAAAAATTGATGGTCGGTATTTTCTCTAGTAGCAAAAGCTCTTATGCAGCAGAAATTTTTTTCCCTGAACTTAAATTTTCGTATCAATTTTAATTGTTTGTAAGGTCATCTAGCAATGATTTTTTGAAGTAAGCTATCATTACTGACACCTGATGAATGTTACGACTATATGATGTAATGAAAGTAGTGATGTGTGAATAATTATGAAATAGAACACATAAGGGACTCAGAATGTCCGGTCCAGAATGTTCAGTTCAATGTGTGTATTCAAATAATTTGGAGAAGTGATACAGATAAAATAAAAAGTGATGGTGGTCAGATGTTGATGTGTCTTATTTTATTTTGACTAATTTTTGCTTTATTTTTTGTATGGTTTATGTACTTATCTTCATAAATTCAATAAAATTTACAAAATTATGACTATGAGCACTTTTTCACTCACTGAATATTTTCTACATACTACAAGCACTCTTAAATGCATTACGGTTGTGCAGCAAGCACCTGTACAGCTAGTATCAGTAATAAAAGATGGTTTCAATAACAAAAATATGAGAGAATTGAAATATGTGATAATGTTAGGAAAATCTTATGATATTTCTGAGTAGCCTATTAAAAAGATTTTCATTGCCAGATCTCAACTATTCTTAGGTAGTAAAATCTTTGTCCTTGAAGTGATTGTTTCTTCCTTTGGTTTTCAGAAAGGCAAGAAATGCGCAAACCTGTACACATAAAACTGGTAAGAATCTCGAAATTATGGGAGTGCCTTCAGTGTTCAGTTAAACAAGAGAGATGCAAACCTATGCAGGCAATACTGGCAAATATCCCAAACATGTATTAACTCCCTTAGGACGAAATTATAGACAATTTGTTTGCAAAATTGAAAAATGATCACTCATAATTTTATCAAATAGCACCTGCCAATGTGTACGTACCTGGTTAGATTTATTTTGCATCCAGTAAATCTTCCATACCATTGGCATGTTCGTTTTCGCCTCCATCACTATCCAAGTGTTCTGCATTGTTGTTAGTGGCAACAGAAGATGATGACATGATATCATCATCATCATCATCCTCATCGTCTTGTTCATGATTGGTACTAGGCTCCTGTTTGACGATTGTAATATCAGGATTATTTTCAAGTGCAGTCGTAGCCAGTTTCTTTGGTGTTGTTGAAGGCATTTTCCCATCTAAGAATTCTTCTACTTCTCGAGACTCGTCAATGGCTTCATCACCTGAGGAAGTACCTCCAGGCTGCAAAGTCGACAGGTAGTGCGCCAGAGTAGTAACGGTGACGTTCAACATCTCTGCTGCTCGAAATAACGTGATCTCCTTTCTCTGCACCTTTGCCAGCACATCAGCAGGTCCCGATTCAGACCAGAAGTCCCGTACTCTGCAAGCAGCAGAGCACTTGTGTAAGAAAAGAAGTGAGAGAGATGGGATAGCTATGAGGGGGCATGCCTCAAACCTACGTGTTGCGATCCTGCATTTGAAGTTGAGCAGTCAGCGCAGCTCCCTTCTGTCTGTATGCCATTAATTCCATGGGGGCACTCGTTGATATCCTGAGGAAAGAAGCTCCATTCACTGACTGCTCTGACTTTTTCTTTTTTGTCTGGATGATGACAATATGTTAATAATATGGAATTGGGATTAGAGAATGAAGACAGTTTAAAGAAGACCAGGCCTGACTAGCTAGGGGGGCAGAAAAACAAATATCTATCTCTATGCAGGAAATTGGAAACAAAATCTAAAAAAATGAAAACGACCACCAAAAGTCAAGCGCCACTGCCACTTCTACAAATTCAGCCACCACCATTTCTTTTGAATGAGAGTGAGAAAAACAAGGACAAACCATCCATCCGAAGATGAAGAATTTTGCTATTTACAGAAGACAACATTACTTGCATGTTTTTAACAATTGCTATCACAAGTGATTTTTATATGACTTTTCATTAATTTTGTAACAGTATTTTGTATAAAAATCATTAACTGTAGGAAGAAAGAAGTGAGATAAAATGCAAGAGAAACTGGTTAATAAAATGAATCTTTGAATAAAACTCAAGATTTAATTTGACATTATATTTTGTATAAATGTTTTATGTACAAATATATGCCTCACTTTCATCACATACATAACCTACAAAAAATACACTAGATATATTTACCCACTTAACATTCCCTTCATGACGACAAAGAATTTTATAAATTAGGAAATAAATAATGGAAGTACTTAAAAGTTTCGCTTATCAAGAAGTTCAATGGAAGGGCCTGTATTGACAGTCAGTTGTGAATGAATACTTTTTAACTGTAGGGCGATTTTTGGGAGACAATTAAAATCTGCATTTCTAACAAGATGCTCAGTACATTTTTTTAAAATTAAAGAAGAAATAAAATCTTTATTTTGGAGTATTAATCGAGAAAGATTAAAATCAAGCACACCAAATAATTGGGCAAACTTTTAGTAAGATGTACCAATATCACTCAAATATTTGCAATGGTCATCCTATATGTACAAATGAATATCTCAACACAGACCGCAATACTATTTGGCACAAATTTAAAGAAATTACAATAACTGGAAGCACAAAACATGATGGAACTTATGTGAGTAAATACAGCAGAGACAAACCCTCACAATTTCCAATATACCACAGTACATTATACACTGCAGCCTTTCAAAAGTTGATTGTAGCATTCCAAATAAACTGATAACCTAAACTAGAGCCTACACATTAATGACATTTCTACAATTTTGTTGAATACATACTTTGCAAAACATCACACAGGTCAAAAAAGGGGCAATTAAGGCATACTTCAAAGGTTTACTTCCATCTTCATTATATATTTTACTCCTATATATTTACAATTTTTTCAGATCATGCAATTGTTCAAGCAACAGTAAATAATATGACAATAATTTTATTATAGATTATCTCTGAATTTTCAGGCAATCCTTGAGTTTTAGTGTGTCCTCCAAACATTCCCCCCCATACATACTCTATGGAGAGACTTATAATGATACATTTTATGTAATAACTAATCTCACTCTGCTGGCATTTAAAACAATAACACTAATACTTTACATAATGATATAATACATTGAATACTTCATAATATCAGTTTAATTAAGGTACATTTTACCATGTTAAATATCAATCAAGACAGTCATTAAGATATTTAAGGAAAAAAAATCACAAGTCAAATATCGACCAGTTAATTACTAAACATTTTACTTGGAAGACTGATGTAGCCTTTAGTTCACCTCCCTACAAAATTCTGGCTCCAATAATTTAACATTTAAAACAAGAACAAGTAGACAGTCTTCCTCATGAGAGTATATATTTACTATATTATTTTGTACTATCTACAATTATTTCTAATCTCACTGTACCAAAGAAATTTCCATTAGCAACTAACTATAGAGCAACTGAAATAATATCTGGTAGACCTCTCAATTAAATATCAACAGAAGAATAGTATTTTCAAATCTCAGAAAACACAATAATGCCTTGATCAAGGTACAACTAAGAGATCTTAAAGCCAGCTGACTGGTATGACTTAGCCATTGGAAAATACTTCATGCTCCATTTCAAATTTAAAGCAGTAAATATCAACTAAATTAATTAATTTTTGGATAGAATGATGAAGAATTTAATATATTTCAAGTTCAATTTTCACAAACACTAGGACTGATGGCAAGCAAGTATTTTTCAAAGCTCAAAGACTGTATAAAAAACAAAGGTAGTGAAAAACATTAGCAAAATAAAACAATTGTCAATAGTGCAACTATATGTAAAGTAGTTATTAGAATAGTACTTACTATTCATCAGTCTTAATTTTCTAGCAGAACTGCATTTCACATAATGAACATTTTCAAATCATCAGACATAAATGTGTCAAATGCAGAAGAAATTCAATTAACAAAAATAAAGTGAGATTAGATTCTTCATTCACTCAATGTGATTACAGCTAAAAGAATGGAAATTAGTGCACAAACATAAAACAGATTTCAAAGTAATCTAAAATGGTATACCACAAAGCCATTCAAAGAGATAAAAAACTAGTCTATACTTCACTGATTGTTTGATTCAGAAGGAAATGTTTTGTTTAAACTATTCATTAAGTATTATCATTCTATCTATTAAATCTAACTATCTGATCATGTATCAATGTATGTTTTGCAAATTTCTGTGCGATGTGCTACTACAATATGGCCACAAACGGCAAAATATTTCCCTACTTTGCCTCCCTAACATAAATAATTCACTTCAACCACCTTGGCACATCTTTAAACATTAAGAAGAGCTGGTGAAAGAAAATAAATAAACCTCAAAAATGGCAATAACAAATTAAAATATATCACTTTTGAGATATAATGCCTAACGTTCAGCCACTTTCTCACACCTTTTTCAATTAAAGTTCTATTTATAGAACTTATGATGAACTTAAATTTTACACGACTGAGCCAAATGAGGTTTTCTTGAGGATTCACAAAAATTTACAACAGAACATAGTATCAGATACTGATTCAAAATCATCCTTATCAGGTACAAAAGTTCAAATAACCCCTATTTTACAGACATCAATTGAATACTGAGTATGTTAACTTATTTTCACGAAACCACAATTAATATAATTAAATACTGTACTTATAATTTAATGAAAAAAGGAACTGCCACTGCTATACAATTTTCAGTATATTGCTGTGTAATGAGTATTAACTCCTCCATTTAGAGAAAAGAATGTAAATTTCCTGTCTTACACTTTTTTTCCATTTAGAAAATGAAACAGGTACCCTACATTTAATCAATTTTCAATTTAAGAAGATATGTGTCTTAAGGCAAAAATATAAGAACACATTATATTCAAACTCAAGGAGTGCCTGCACAACAATTTCAGAAAATAATAAACAAAATCAAAAACTAGGTCATACGTCCACAACCATACAATCCCAGAAACTTTTATAAAAATGCAATTTTAAAAACTACTGAAATATAATTCTTCAGTTCTTGTAAAGACGTAATGCAAGTCTCATTCAGTGATGCAAAACTTTTCTTCTGCATATTAATAAATAAATTCCCAAATTAACAGCAGAATTTTCAGAACTGAGGAGTACACAAATAAAAATTTTCCAATTCTATTCTTGAATATTTTCTGCAACACAGCACTGCTCACTGAGTAAGCATGTCTTACAAATACACGAGCTCTGGTAGACATCTGTTTATTTTAGAGTAATAAACTCTCAAAAAACTACAAATAATAATCGGAAAATGTCAATCACAAAATAAGATTTATATAGATTTCTCAGTTCATGAAACTGCTTTTATTTCAAAATAATTATTTTGTAGGTCATATCAGGTCATTCAGAGACTAGTCTTGTTCATTCGTCTGAGTTATGATACACAATAGTAATGCAGTAATTAATTTACTACACAGGTACATAAAATGTTACAAAACTTATAATGAATGTATGAGCAGGACCACGGATGACACACATCAATGTACATTTTCCATACGAATTATCTTAATTCAAATAAAATATACAAAGTAAGAGAAGAAAATAAAAACAAAAGTGAAGAAAATCTGTCAGGTGAGCATAAAAATGATGAGAAATCAGGGCTAATACAAGCAACAAACCTTGCAAATGCACCAAAGAAAAGGAGATCAACTTCCACCACACATTAGTAAGTCAAAATTTGTTAGTAGACACATGAAAGAATGTACACACAATCTGAACTCTTTTGGAAGAACTTGCACCTCTCAGGCTGAAAGTTTTACTTTCACAAAAACTGTGATTAATAATTGTTCTATATGTCTACTTGATGTGCATGAAAAACATTGTTTCATTTTTTTCTTCAAAAACTGCACACAACGTTGCACCAAAATATCATGCTTTCTTTCCCCCCAAATTAAAATAAATGTCACCCGATAAAACGTCTACTACGTTTCACTCTGAAATTATGAACACTAAAAATTTATTTCTAACTAAGATGTCAGCAATTTAAATTTCTTTTTAGGTACTGCAGTCACTTTTTGAGCCCCCTTCAGGGAATGTGAAGGATCCTGTCATGGATCCAGTCTCTGAAAGCAGCTCACCTGTAAGGGTGTTTCAGGCAGCCATAGGCATCACGGTAACGCCCATACAATGTCCCATACGACACACCCAGCAGCTCAGCACCAGCCTTCATTTCCAGCTCCTTGCTCTTGATAGCTTCCATAATGCGACGAGTGAAAGGTTCCTCCCAGAATTGCTGACGGCGTCCAGTAGTTAGGTAATCATTCAGCTTCACAACATCTCGGTACTGCTCAGCAATGCGTTGGCTGATACAGGTACCACCTACAGTCATTGAAATGAGATTACTATTCCCGTTCAATAATCATGAGAATGCACAAGATTTAAGTATAGCTGTGATGTTGAAAGCCGTTTAAGCTCATCTCAAAGTCAGAGATCCTGGATTGTATTTCTTATAGATACAATCAATTTAATCTATTTCCATTCTGTTCCATCTATAATTTTTTATTTTCAAAACAGAATGTAGCAGGGATATAAGTATCATTACAAGAGGTTGTTTATCCAACTGCATTTGAGGCAAGGAATTACATGGCAACAAATAATATTAAAAAAATACCCTTTTCATTACAATAGTGAAATTTTAAGTCAGATACCAATAGGGTGGGGGTGGGGTGCGGGGTAATGACGGGGTAATAAAACACGGTTAGTGTTTTTCCTCTATCTTAGTTTTGGTAAGTTGTCACTGTTTCATCATGTATGACTTATTATTACAATCTTTTCTAACCACAACTGATAGTCTCATCTTTCAATGCTTACTGGAGGTTCACAAAACCATTTGAAACCATCCACACACGTAATTGCTTCATGAAAATTCCCTTGCTACAGCCAGCCTTACCTTAAACAAATTGTATTATCTGCCAATGTAGACAACAGTTGTGCAAGCAGAGCAACATTGAAAATGTTAAACCAATTCTTCCAACAAACCAAAATAGGACAAGGTTATTGGAACCCTACTAGAAAGGATAGCAAGTACAGAAAATTATCAAAATAGGTAAGACCTAGTCATACCTCAAAAACTGGAAATAATTCATACAAACTAGGAGATAATGACTAATATATTGCTAACTACTTATAGGATTAGTTTTTAAATCTATAAAATATTCCTTCAATTATATTGCAATTTGAGCAAAAAAAAGTATTTTTTAACAATTAGATATTTTATACATCAGCATGTTCGAACTCATACAAAAGACTTAATGAGGATCTCAGTGTAATGTTTATAAATATGTAACAGCATGTTATAAGGAAGCTAAGAATTTTAGGAGTAAAATTTCGGCAAATAGGATTGTAAAAAGGTGCTTTAAATTAGCTGCAAAGGTGCAAATATTTTAGAAAATTCAAACACATTTTAAAAATTCTGCCTTAAGTCCCAGAACACATTGTTATTAAAAGCCACAAGCCCACACATATTTAGTTTGGAGATGGTAATTTAAATCATCATTTGTTGCAACATCTGCAACAGAGTTGTTGACTAAACTCTGATCAAGTCTTAGCTTTCCAATACCCTACATTGCTTCTTTTATGTCCTTCAAAACTGCCTTCATCTTTCTCAGGACACTGCTGTTTTTATAGTTGTCCGGAAAGAATAATTGTACTGTAAAAAGTTAATCTTGCAAACTCTAGTTTACCAAGAGCTATGTTTTTTTTTAAGACTGAAGAATAATTTTTACAGTTTTTAAGGAACTGAGTGTAACCTTAAATAGTTACAAATAAATACTTCAACCTTGATCCATCAAGTGAGACTTGGGGAAGCTGGAGGAGGACGTCTAATTCTTTGAACAGTGTTCATTGTTTAGTTCTCATAGGATTAAAAGGAGACAAACGAGCCAAAATTGTAAAAACAGCAAAAAAACCTGTGTCCTGGGCAATATAGTTGTTGTTCAAAACCTTGTAAAACAAAAACTATTGTGCACATAGGTTGGAAATTGATAAAAATCTTGTAATATTGTCTTTTCTCTTTAAGTCTATAAGTATTTTATGTTTATTTGATTATAAGATGGTAATGAGAATGGAATTCAAAGAAACACATGTTATCAATTTTATATTTTAGTGTAAAGTAACGAAGTTCAAAATATGGGGGGAAACACAGTGAAATTCATGTTTCAACAATACTGGTGCACTACAATTATATTTATTGCACATATAGTTCCATTTGTCTGCCTTTATTTTTTAAAATATACTGGGGTAAAAAAAGGATGAGAAATAGTCTAGCTTAGTTGAGTCTTTATTTACAGGAAATTTTATTTCATTGGTTTTCTCAAACCCTGGTAATTCAGGTGGTTCACAGCATTCTAAAAGAAAGCATTCACAGTATTCTAATGCAAATGAAAACGCTTGAATTTGAAAAGGCTCAACAATAGAATCATTTGCAAAATTATTACTGCCCTTGACATAATTTTCATTGTTCAGGAATAAAATGAACGTCCTCATTAGAAGAATTCCATTTCATTATTCAAAAACTCTTGAACTTCTAATATAAGTAGCTGTGAATTTTACAACTTCTACTGCAACTCTTTTACAATCTTCTAAACATCTGTATGTCGCCAACAACATGAACAGTTACAAAGAAAGATATTCTAAAAGTAATCAACAGTGCTCGCAAATATGAATATCCAATCGCTTCCTGGAAAAATTTCAAAAACTTGCAGAAAATAGAAGCACATATTGGCGTTTGTCCTATGACCACATTAATGATATTAAAAAGTGTATTCTAGGTGCCTACAAATGTTCGAAAGATGTTTATTGCCCGTCAAAGTCAATAAATATAAAGACATATGACATACGTTCATAAGACACAGCAGTAAAATTAAGATGGCGTATCAGATAGTCCATAGGATCAAAAATGATAAAATGAGACCTGCACCATTCTCTTAAGTGTCCGTCATGCTATCCAAGTCAAAATTTAATCAACAAATTTGGTGCCTTATTTGGAAAATGTTCAAAATGTCCCAGGGTCAAGTTAAGTCCGCCACAAAGATAAAATATCGGTTTCAAATGGCAGGTGCACAAGTAAAAGGGGATGTCACATTTTTGTCCAAAATAAGTATGCTACAGTATTGTTTACAATAGTGGATACAGTGTATAGTGGGATAAATGAGATTTCAATTTTGCCATTAAATTTTAATGGCAAAACTGAAATCTCATTTATCCCGCTATACACAGTAATAGTACTGTAATATAGCAATGGCCTGGTATACTCACTTTGGACAAAAACCTGACTTATCCACTTTTACAAGCGCATCCCCCCAAAGGGGAGCAATATCAGCCAGGTCAATAGGGGAATATCAATTTTAGTGAAAATCATGCTTACTGTTTAGCCGCATTGCTGTCCAGACAGATATTTTTCCATAAATCAATTTTTAATATGAAGGACCCACAAAACATAAATTCTGACTACAGCATGTTAGAGGAAATAATTTACTCTACATGAGGACAGAATTTGTCCACTTTTTCATTACCAGGGCCCGGCAGTAAGAGTTTTTCTGTTGAAAATTTGCCATTTTTTCCTGCAGCATTACAATACTTTCTCTTCGCTATGTAAGCAGTAGTGAGAAAGTAAAAAGAATGCTAAAAAGAACAAATGATACAAAAAGAAATAAGCTCGACATAAAGATAGAAAGAAATAACCAAATCCTTCTGACCAACTGATTTCTGAGGAGTAAAGACAAGAAATTACATTTAAAAAAAATGCAAAATAAGTAAAGAAAAAAGCAAGTATTGAGATCAAGGCCTATTGCTGCAAAAGCTGTTCATGTATAGGGTGCAACAGTAGTGGTGCTGCCTCAGACATAGTTTCTCGTATTATTAGCAATGGTTGCACAATATTCTAATAGTGAAATTTCTGTCTTACTAACGCTAATTTGAAAAACTCTCACGTAATGAATTATGAGTGGTTTCAAACTGTCATTAATTTGGCAGCCATAAACAGTAGACATTTCTTAACAAACCAAACAAGCTTAAATCTCAACTGTAACAGTACCTGCAGCATGTAATAGGCAAGAAAAAAATATTTTCACACAAGGTAGCCTTGATTACTCCAAGGAGTAATTTTTCTCAACTTTTAAGTGAGAAGTGATGAAACTTCTCTAGATTAAATGAAATATATAAATTAAATGCACAGAACTGAAACATGAACTAATACACCTCATAAATGCATTAAAATTTGTTTACACAACTACCATCTTATCATTCAAATATTACATCTGGGACACTTCAGAGACCATGTTTACTAAAATAATACTTTTGCTGCAAATACATCAACATAAATTCAACAATCAAAACCTGGCTTAAGCCGTGGTCCCCTCTAAAAATATTTTAAATTTTAGTCGCATATTATTTCAAACCCCTAAAACAGATTTAAACATTTTTCCAAAAAGGCTACAAATATTTACTTTAAACTTCTGAGTCACAAAAGTAAAAGTTTCTCCATCAGCTACATCATTGAAGATATTTTTTTCTGAATGAAATCAATTCTTCAAAATTGTATCTTTAAATAATGTAGAGTACAATTTTTGAAAATATGAGTAATTTTTACATAATTTTGAGAGAAAAAGTGATAAGAACAAACTTTTGACTAATTTTGGAGACCAGTTCTGAGGATCAACGATGCGTTTCTGTATATTTGAAGTTTGACAAAAAAGACATTAATTAATAACTATTATATATTTTTTAAAGATATTGAAAGGTATTATGGATTGCCCACACGTACATTTGCATATTTTATGGCTGACTTCTCATCATACTTCTTAGGTTTACAAGCCTTTTTATAATAATTAATTTATATATTTCTCATGAACTCTCGGTACATGAGAAAGTCCACACAATGGAGTCATACGAAATGAATGTGTTATCTGAATTGTGACATCTTTGAAAATTCAATAACTATGTTAAGCATAAAAGTATATAATTGTGGAGAAAATACACTAAACTCTTGCCAATCTGACCCACATTTGGCCTCTAGTCTCTCAGGTAGAAATGACGTGTAAGCCAAAGAAATATCTTGTGCAACAGTAGGTTGTTAGTTAAAAATGTTGGACAACGCTATACATATTTGACACTGACTTTCTTACTGTACAGTTTAGTAGTATCGTTTCTAAATGTCAAACATTTTTTTAAGTGTCTCCCTGCAACTACAATATTAAAGACAATATAATATTAAAACTGGTCATGTACTGTTTTTTCAAAATTCGAGTTTCTAAAATAGGAGAATTTCTGCTTGAAATTATGCAATTTATAAACAACACATTTTCCCTAAAAAATGCACCATATCTTTTCTTTAATTTGTTTTTCATGGTTGAAACAATGGACGCTTACAAGAATGGCACAGGTCTTGTTTTCATTGAATTCACTCTTTGAATTTTTGAAAATTGCAACTTTAGAAATAACGCAAGAAAGTATTAGCACGCATTAGCTTGGAGAGTACTGTGTGACCTTATGTGGCAGACTTACAAGCAAAATATCTGTTAAACACGAGTCGAAAACTGCTCAAAAAATTCTAATGTAACATTACAATACGTACATCATTGTATGTGTCTTTTTACACTCATCATGACACACTAAAAAATGTATTGTTCCATTTGAAACAGGTTATCTCAAAAAATACAAATACAAATGAATACATGGATTAATATGCCCCATTTCCTCATGCACTTCCATGAAAATTGCATTGAAGAAAATTGCACTAAAGAAATCAAAATTTCCTCTAACTACTCCTGCACTCAACTGATAAATTGTGGAGTCCCACAAGGATCCATCCTTTGGCCAATACTATTCCTTATGTACATAAATGACATGCCTTTGGCTTAAAGGAATAACAAAATAATTTTGTTTGCAGATGACACAAACATAATCATTAGAGCAAAAACACTACAATCATTAGAAAAAGAAACTCACAAAACTTTGCAAACACTAATAAAATAATTTCAAGACATCAAACTCATCATAAACACCAGCACGAAAGTCTCTCTAAATTTCATGAATCCCTGATCTAAAGAAAAACTCTCACAGCATTTGCTCATAAACAATAACTCTGTAAAGATATCTCATGAAACTACCTTCCTCAGTCTACCAATTCAAGAAAACCTAAAATGGAATGCTCACATCTCAAATCTTAACAAGAAGCTCACCAAATCTTGCTATGCCCTATACACCCTCAGTTCAATATCTCTCACCTCCAACATTGAGACACTTCAAAACAATGTGTTTTGCAAATGTGCACTCACACCTAAAATATAGAATAATATTCTGGGGAAATGCTCCAGAAAGCACTTGCACAATTATTATCCAAAAAAAAAAGAATATTACGAACAATAGGATTCTTCCTCTACCACATATGTATATATTTGAAATAGTGGTCTTCACAAAGAAAATTTTCATGAAAAATAAAGACACTTTTACTCTAAATTCCGATGCACACAACTACAACACTTGTCAAAAGGATAACCTACATGTTCCCCACTCTGAAACTACACTTTATCAAAAAAGTACCCTAATAGAGGGCATTACACTTTGCAACAAACTAGGCAATGATATTAAAGACATAAACACAATTCATACATTTAAAAGTAAATTGAAAGCTTTCTTGCTTAACAACATGTTCTACAGTCTGAAGGAACATTCAAATCACATTTCCCTTAAAAAAATATAAAGAAATAAAAATGTCTTATCCCGTTTTACTTTCTGTTTCGTGTTAACCGTTTCGAGTGGAAGCAAAGAAAAAAGAACTGGCATATCATGTTCTGTGACTTAAAGGAGAATGAGTGACAAAAAATTTCAGTGTCTCTGGATTCACTAGGCACATTAGGTGCTGCAGTAGGACTATGTGCATAAATTGGAGAAAGAGACCTGGTCAAAACCTGCCTCCACCTCCTCCTCACCATTTCAAGTTTTAAACAGAGAATGTACTAATATTGTTTTATTATTATTATTATTATTATTATTATTATTATTATGATTATTATTGTTATTATTGTTATTATTATAAGTAGTAGCAGTAAAATGACAATAACTTCTTGAAATGTTAAATTATCTGCTACTAAAAATAATTATCTATTGTATAATATCCTATTCTATCTGTAGTAAGTACTGTAGTTTAATTCCTAAGCCAAAGACCCATCTTGATAAGGTTTTTTTTCAGTTTCCCTGGTCCCTTAAGCAAATGCTGAGATGGCCCCTTGTTTTGCTCCTGAACAGTAATGTAATTTCTCACTCTCAACTCGTAATACACAATTATAATTGTATATGTGTCTAAATAAATATTATTATTATAATTATTATTATTATTATTGTTTTTATTATTATTATTATTATTATTATTATTATTATTATTATTATTATTATTATTGAAATAAAGTCACCTGTTCAAAAACTACAGGTGCTAAAGTTACGTGACTCAATCTGTATATAAATAAGACCATCTATGGGTAAATCCCATAAAATGAGCACAGAATAACTAAATAAAAATTTTAAAAAAATTATTTTGAACATGCCTATTAGTTATTACCTTCATTATGTGTTGGAGGTACCGCTTGTTGAATAGCTTGCTGCATGTGCATAGGAGGTACGGCAGGTTTTGCCAGCTGCTCCTGCTCCTGTTCAGAATACATGCCCTAAGACAGAAAACAACAACAATGAATCTCAACTCAATTGAAAAGAAAAAAGAATATAAATAAAAGTATGCTATTTCAATATTTGACATTATTGTGTACCCACAAAAATTATGAGAGGGGTTGCTACATAATAATCTCTTCGTTATATATAACAAAGACAAAGAGAGATCACTATTATAGCATTTTATACTAAATTCCACCCTCACCCCCAAAGACAAATTGCAATATTGCGTATGTGCGATTATTACTTTTTCTTCCTTTTTAATGACAGTCCATGACATTAAATCCCCATAACAATTAAATAGTTTATCATTTTTTTAAACGTATATATAAAGAACAAAAAACAATTGTACCTGATAGAAAATTTAAAAAACCTCAAAATTTCAAAAGTGACATCTAACTAATGAGTATTCTTTAATAAAATGTAAAATAAAAATAAAGTTAACAAGATAGCTAATGTTAACAATAATTGAGAAGTATATTGAAAGAGAAAAATAAGTAGCTGAAAATAAAAGCAGAAAAAACAATTGAGAAAAAATTACCAGCCTCTTTTAGGACATTTTACAGCTTGATCATACATAAGAGACCATCAATAATAATACACGAGTTGTGTCAAAGATGACCACACTAGACTAGATTTGTAAAAATAAAAAGAAAGAATATTGATTACAGAATTGTGTGGTTCATCAAGTTAATTGAAAATTCCAACTTCAAAAAATGTATTTCGAAGATTCAAAGGGTTTCACCTACTTTGCTCCATAGTAAGTAGATTGTGCTGCAAAGGATTAACTATAAAATCTGAATCAATGCATCATTAAAACCAAGATAAAGAAGTATTACATATAGAAGATGAAAAAAAATAATTAAAATGACTTTTAGTAAGCAATTGCACTGTGTGAAATAAAGATTGGGAAGATCCATTTAATATTATTCTTCGATTAAAATATAAAAAATATAAGAGGAATCGACATTTAATCAGCTGGGCATACAAATGTTGTTAGCAGTTGATTTTTTTTTAAGTATATTTTTTTGCAATTTTCTCAATTTTGGGTTTCCTAAAAGTTGAAACAAAATATTACTTAAAGGATATTATAGAAGAGTAAAACCTTGTCCTATAAGAAAATATTTGTTGAAATCTTAGGAGCCATTTTAAGAAAATGTTTAAGCATTACTGTAAATGCCAAATTTGAAGCTCTTTTTCACAGAAATCGTTTGAGTTGATCGAAACTTTATTGGGAGTCATCTGAGGTACTTCCGCTCACAAATGCAATAATGTACACAAATCGCTGGAAACATGCATAAGAAAGGCATAAGAGAGATTTCAAACAAATTACATTTGTGAATTTTTGAAAAAACCAAATACGGCAAAATGGCTTTTATATGATCTTAAACAGTACAATTAGAGCTATCTGAACAAAAACTTTGAAGAAAATATTTGGAACAGTATTTTAAAAAATGACATTTCAGTGTTTCTGAAAAAGTGGAATTTTTAGCTAATTTTTACAGAAAACTTTATTGTTTTTGAGAAACTTTATCAGACACCATTTCAAGCACATGTACTCATAAATGCAATAATCTAAACTAACCACTACTAACATAAATATTAACAGAAAAACTCGTACCAATACAAAAAAAATTGATAAATCCTGCTCCAATATGTATTAAATTCATACATATGTGCTTCATATATGTAGCAAACACGCAAAGCCTCAAGATCAGTTGGGAAATATCAATTTTCAATAAAAGTTTTGGTGCCAGTGTTGACCATAGACCCACAAACATGTTATCTGCAGAAAACTCAGTTTTCCGGCACACAATTATAATACATTATTTTCTTACAAAGTAATGGCGAAAAAGTAAAAACAGAGCCATCATAGCATTGTAGTAAATAATGTAAATATTTGCTTGGCCTATCGCTTTTTACTTTTCTGTAGTTTACACTTTTTTCCATCAGTCCCCTGAAAAGTTTAAAAAAGGGATTTTACTGCATTAAACGCAATATTGCACGGAAACTATTACAATATTTAAAAATACGTACGTGATCTTAATGAAAGAAATAATTGTGTAGAAAAATGCCGAAAAAAAATTCACCCTTTGACAATTTTCAAAAATTAAGAGTCAATAATGGAAAAATCGTACCTGCGCAACCTTTAAAAATATTTCACAAGAAAAATGTGAGAACATTTTTAAGAAAACTTTAAAAATCTACCACGGATTTCAAGTAAAGTACCCCCAAAATTTAATAAACGTTTTTCAAAATCACAGAGCTTCAAGTGAGGCCAGATCAACAGAGGTTTATTTAGCTTGGAAAAAATTCTACATACAGTTGAGGTGCTAGTGTTGTTCACATACATACATTTCGGAAATTTGACTACATAACGTGTTAGAGGGAGTAATTTACTATATTTTAGAACACAATTTCTGTGATAGGACCTCACAATACAAGTTTTTCTGCCGAAAAATTGCAGTTCTCTGATGCAGCAATGAGATAACTTTCTCCATACTATGTATATTACTCCACATATATTACATACATATACGAAAAAGTAAAAAGCACATTAGATACATGGTTGTAAACAAAATACGTTATTTTCTTTGTCATTTCGTTACTTAATAGACTATTGAAACGTAGGTTAAAAAATTCTATGAAATTTGATTTATATTCTAACTTTTTTATTTCTTTTATATAACACATTGTGATA